GAATTTGTTTGAGTTTGCTGGTGTTGAGCTAAGTATCGAATTCTCTGGGAATGCGTGTAGGCGAATGACAAAATAGAACTACGTTTTCTCTTAGGCTAGTGGTCGAGAACTCTAAAAGTAACCAACTCAATTTACATTTTGGCTTCCACATATATCATACGCGATACGCCGATCGTTGCGACGCGCCCGGAGGAATCTGAATTGGCGCGCGTCTCGCCTCGCTCCTTTTCTAGCCTTCAACATCATGACTCAATGGAACGTCACAAAACAGACTCAAGTAAAAGACAAACCACCAAACTATCATTGGGGCGCCCGCGTCGCATGTCAGGTCAGATATCAACGTGGAAGCTATAGGGTTTAGCAAAGACTGAGTTTTGATATAATACTACTACTACTTTTTTACGTAGTCTCTTCTATACACTTTGTACTAAATTCACAAAAAGTTTATTCCAAAACGTATTGACAATAATAAACAGTTAAATGGCTGCAAAGAGGTGTAATGGCCCAATGGTTGTGATGTCTGTCGCGGTGAGCGTAGAGCCGAACCCCACCTCCCCCGTACGCCCCACCCCGTCCTTCCTTCAACACTTTCCGGCAGTCAACAACGAACCCCACAGCCAGGCTATCCTCGAGGTTGCACGAAGACGCCCTTGGCCAGTATTCAGCGATGTTCAAATAGATGAAAAACTATTGAATGCTAGATGTACTGGGATCCGCACAGCGGAAAAACACTGTGAAGACGATTAGTAAAGTGCATAAAAAAGTATGGCGACAAAATTCGTTCCTTTAGTTAGTCTACATAATAATTTCTCCAATGAATTAGCTTTGGTCTCTTATGTTTTCTTCTCAAGAGGTTGGAGTCTGTTCGTTTTCTTCGAGATATTCGCTTTCTAGAATTGGTCCGGTAGGATGTAACGCTAGCCAGTATGCCTCCAAGAAATTGAAGATTTTCCTTGTAGCCTCTCGTAGACCATTTTCTTCAATGATGACGTCAACCTCAAAGCATAGGTTTTTTGAAGCTTCTAAAAGAAAGTTAATATTTTATCACCTGGTCGAGTGTAAGTTGATTCAGAACATCAGCACCGGCAACCGCGTTCCCGTCCTTAATCCCAGCCTTCTTTAGAAGTCTCAGGAGAATCTAGGAAGGATTTGAGAATTAACTATAGATGATGCGTTAGACACGAGTGTATCATTTTGTCTTAAACATTATTCTTATTTGCTATGTTCTTTAGTAATTCGATTTACCTTGTGATCTTTGATTCTGAACAGAAACAGTATTGGAGCCATGTTGAGCTGAGCTACGTCGGCAGGTGTGTTTATGTTCGGACATTCGAGTAAAATCAAATGCAGATCTTCAGTCAGAGCAGTGATCAGACGAAGCTCTCTTTCGTTTACGTCTACGAACACAAAATATTTTGTACAGTTCAATTAGACAGAAAAGGGTAGAGCACCACGCGACATGAAAACATTCGGCTATAAGCGCCTTTTTGTGTCATTGTCGATTTCAATCAATATTTTTTCTTCGGTTTTCTGTATGACTAAAATTTCGCTGGTTATACAAATACTCTGTAGCAGTTTATCCCCTAAATATTTTACTTTGATTTCTCTCATTACCTGACTGCCAAACTGCTACATAATGCGATCAATTCTGCTTATAATTTGTGTTAACTTTCAATTAAAGATGGTAGACGAATTGTGTAAAATAGTGAAGAAATCAGCATCGCGTTAAAGATAAATTCTAGCACCGACCGCCACTTCGCTTCACAGATCAGTTGAAGTATGTGTAAGTGACTGAATGACCTTAGTGCCCTTCAACTTACCATAAGTCAATTTTGATGAACCCTTATTGCCAATTTCAGATGTTAGCAATCGCACACGGCTTCTGAATTGCTTCACGATTGCCGACCTATAACAGCTTGCAAAATTTTAGTATAGATTTTCTTTTTCTTTTTTTTTGTTCTGATCCCGGTTGTTTTTAGTTAAAAAGGACAGCGCAGTATAAGTTTAGCCATGGTACGATTCGGAGAAACCGATATACCGAAACAAACCGTAGCAGAAACATTAGAAACTGAAACATTTATTTGATATGAATATAAATTGACCAATGATTTTCTCTTAGTGAATACCATGCGCTATGATAGGTGATAGATTGAAGAAAGTAACCAAGAGTTTTGCAGATTTCGGGTGCACTTAGGAAAACATGGACTATGCGCTGTTTTGGAACACTTTTGAATACTACACGTTTATCTCTACTAACGAGAAGGTACCGTAATTTCAAGACTTCGCATTAAGTCATATAAAGTGAATGTTCTAAAAGACAAATACTCATGATATTTCAAAAAAACTTTTTTAAAACCACATTTTCTATATGACTAAAATTTTGCTGATTGTACAAACACTATGTAGCAGTTTATCCTCTAAATATTTTACTTTGATTACTTTCATCACCTGACTACATAATTGCGAGATTAATGTTCCAAACAGGTTCACTGCATCGACTGTCATTTATACTCGCAATAAACATTCAATCTAGTTTTTAAGAATGTTTAAAGCGTTACTTGAGGCTGGTAGGCTAGGGTCATACACCAGTGTTTCGGAGGTACACTGTGCCGTCACCACATACGCCTCCCTCCTTGCTACAATGTTGTGCTTAATGTGGGATGTGGGTCACTGACGAGGAGGGCGAGACCTCCGAAACACCTATGAACCTGGCTTATCAATCTCGGTTAAGGCTTTAATATTCTCAAGAGTTAGTTCCAAACAGGGTTAACTAGACTGAGGAAAATCAGCTATTTCCATAGGAAGGAATACCACTGTTGAGAACGATAGTATCTGAAATCAACACCCACATGATGGAGACAAGTTACAAGGTGTAGATCCTCCCTTCGAATCCTAAGGTCTAGCAACTGTCTACAGTGACGACTTGAGAACATCGTGACAGCTCATTTGGGATATCGGAAAAAATAGATAGCTTGAATGGAAATGAGCAGCCTTTTCCGTCCACCATTTACACGACGAAACAGTCGAAGAAAAGCGATCGACATTCAAATTTCATAGTATCCCGTTAGAACTAGAGCAGTAACAATCTACGGAGAGTGTTAAATTTTCTGCAGTTTGAAAATACACCTTTACCGACGCATGTTTCCATGTCAAAGGTGTAGATCACATGAAGTTTTTCTTGATCCGTCCTAGAATATACAAGAAGCATGAAAATCGACGTGCGCCATTTATGCAACGTGTTCTATTTTCACTTGTGGAAAAAATGTCGTCACGAAATGTCCGTGTGAGTTAAAATGTCTGCATTCTAGAGAAAAATTATTATTCAGACTTTATAAAGCTCCATCGTTTCGCTTGGCTATCCTCAGACTCCAAGTAGTCAAGGATCGATATTATAAGCTGTTGAACACCAACAAATACAGGTTGACTGGTAGTGACGCTCGTCATCACGAACAAGGCGAAAATTCAATCTCTTATTCAGCTCATCATAACGCTCATCACATTCGGTCAGGAAATTGGTTCCAAACTTGTTGAGATAATATTCACTCTCTGCAATCTGAGTGTCTCAGGTCTCCATGTGGTATCGACTCCCACCATTTAATAACATTTATATCGGTGGAAAGTCTTCCAACATTAACGAAATCCATACGCAAAAGTTGGAAGACCGTCTTAGATGGTGAATGCCAGAAAACCGATTAGATAGAGGGCTTACTGTTATCTGTGTTCTGAATGTGAATGCTTGAGCAAATGGAGCAATTAGTTTAAAGCGTGAGTCCGATAAAATCGATGCCGAAAATATGAGCGCTAGAAAGAACTAGTAAAGGTTTCCCTTTTATTGAATTTGTCTCAGACCACCCACTTGATATCACATATTATACGAAACATATAACTTCTTGCATTCGATTCGTATCCTTGACTCTGTCATTGGCATCCAGAATTTTAGATAACGACTTGACTGCAGTTTGAGCACTTTCTTATGTTGTATGAATGAAGTTGAATATCAGCCTATTCATCTTGTGACAATCTTGTTGATTATCAGTCTACTCATCTTCTGGCAATTTTTTTAGGATGTCTACAATTCTTCTTTCGCAGGCAGTCGCCAGCTATCGAACGAATTTTTCTCCAGACAAATGTAGTGCTGATTTTTCGCTTGTGAGACACGAAAAGCTTGGTTAGCCTGGGAAGAAGTTGAATAACCCCCAGTTTCTATTGCTTACGATCTCTATCACATCGAATGGTGTTTTTCAAAAGAAGTTGAATTAAATATTTTTTGCCGCTTACAAATGTCATAGAAAGAAATGACGTAAACGGCGATTACAAAGGAACAAAAAGAATGGTAATTGGATTGAAGAGCGTGAAGTTCTGGGACATGGATAACTTGGGTTCTCGCCATTATGACAAAAAGTATATTATAATCAACATGAACGAAAAACCCACCTAACAGCTGCCTGCATGAGTTGTGTAAGACGTGAAGACTGGTAGCACGGACCTAGCAGGACGATTGGCCGCGTCGACGGTACAACGGTGTACGGATTCGGATACTCCCAGATTACGGATTGTTTCGCTCTGTAATGTGATAGGTAAAGAGAAAGGCAGTTGTGAGCACCGATCTTGTCATATAGGTTATCGCCGTATCTCTACATTTTTTGTTCAGGCATTGTCATTTTATGTAAACAATGTTATTTATTTACTGCCGAATTATCATGATTTCATTCAGACGTCATTGTCAATAGGGACTTTGCCTGCTATGCAAAGATGAAATACTCCGAATTATTAGCCATTGTTCTATCATATTAACAATCTCAAGTTGACTCTTCAAGGCATAAGAGATTTATGAGTACTATGGTGTGAATTTCTGTTATCAGTGGCCCTCAAAATTAGTGCAAATTATAATCCATCTCATCCTCATTCTTATGTTAGAGATAACAATATTCGGAATTTTTAGTATATTACTGCATTTTTCGCATATATTCCTAAGAGAATTGAGTGCTGAGCAAAAACATGGCTTCAGGCGGGAATCGAACCCGCGTTTCATCCTATACGTAAACACGTGCTCTGCCACTACATCACCGAAGCACATTTGCCCCATCACTCATTCTTCAACATCTCTATAGCTATCAGCCACCAAGCCTTAACAGGTATGGTAGGGTAAGCGATTTCGCATTATAAACCCAGTTGAGCTGATAGCCATTACGATAACAAATATTCGAAATTTTTGGTATTTTACTGCATTTTTCGAAGTGTTTTTTCTCATCACTCAATTCTATTAGCAATATATATATATATATATATATATATATATATATATATATTGCTAATAGAATCCAAAAAGATTCGAGAAAGATCACACGCAAAAAATCCGAAATCAATCTCACTAGACTGCTGCCACAGTACGTAGAAACTGAAAACTTCCCAATAACCCCAATAAAGTTTCCGGTGGGGCGTATAACAATTGTTTCCTAGGGCAGTCCTGAGAGATTGATCAACGCCAAACGCTTTATCCTTTGCACTCATTATGTCCTATCTCTAGCAGATTACTATATTGTTCAAAAAACTACACTCATTGCTTGCTGTCGAATAACATGTAATTGAAGTGAAACCACTACAAACGCAGTCGGATTAGGCTAATTGCTAAAAAATTGGTGACAGTGACCACAGACAGATTGTTCAGGAAGATTATTAATTAGAGAGAATTAGACTTGTCAGGACCACCGTTGTGCTGTTTTTGATTCAGCTGTAATTTCAAAATGTTGATGAGAATAGCGAATCTCTAATAGCGATTCTTGTTAGGTTAAGAGCGGATTTCTTGCCCTCATTGGCGTACCACTCTCGAGAGCGTAGTGAACTTTCTTGCGTTTTCAACGTTTTTCGCAATTTCAGACAACAAGCGACCAATATTTCTTTTTCTTTGCAAAAAATAGCCATGGTAACTTTTGATTTCCTGACATTTCGTGATAATACAAAGGATGTTGCCACTCGCTCGAGTTCACAGCTGACCATCTCAAGCTCTGTGACGTTCAGGAAGTCAGCGAAGTATCCACAAAGTTGTCTGAAAGCGATAAAACACTACTCCCTCTACCTTCTAAAACTATAAGCTAAAGCATTAGGAGTGCGGTGGCACATGCTTTTCTGATGAGCGAACAACAAACATTGGTTTTCATCTTAAAGCCTAATGCATCAACTCAAAGCTGCTATCCTTTTGAACAACTCAGATGTCAATTTGCCGACCCCAATATACTTGGTTGGGCCACAGCACAGAAGCAAACCAACGACCATGTGTACATTGTTTATGGCATCTCTAACCGCTATCTTATGCTCGCCTCTGTTATATCGTAGTGATAGAAAACTCAAGGATGATCAGAACGGGAAACCCTTGGTGAGCATCGAACTCCCGATTAGCCTTTTCAGTGCCATCCCATCCGCAAGCACCAATAGAAGCGATGAATGCTTAAGAGTAAAGTGAAACAAGGGCTTTGGTGGTGTAGAGCCACGGATCTTCGACTCTGTAAGGTAAGCGTTTCAGAGCTCACCCGAAACTCCAAGTTTTGTGCATATCTTGCTGTCTTTGTGGTTGTAAAATCTATTAGGTTGGTGAAAAGTAATTAGGTTTTTTGCATGTTCAAATTTGCCGCCTGATATTGAAATAAATCTGTAAGAAAATGTGATTATGTTATGTACCATTTTAATGCGCACTTTTCGCTATATATTCTATCACTAATGACTTATTACTTTCTATTTATTTTTTATTTCATTTAGATTATGGAAAGGATGTTGGTTGGTGTAGAAGTCATTACAGTTTTAGAGCGGCAGTTTAAAATAGGTCGTAATGCAGCAGAGACAACTAGCAACATCAACAACGCATCTGGCCCAAAAACTACTAGCGAACGTCCATTGCAGTGGTGATTCGAGAACTTTCGTCAAAGAGACGCATTTCAACAATGCACAAACCGCAGTTACTTTTGCACCAGTTTCACCAGAAGTCATGGGAAAAGCAATCTCAAAGCTGATCCTCTTAATATTACGTGACATGTTACAGATGAACCTAGTGTCGACTATTATACCATTCTACCATCCTTCCCATCTGAAGCAGATTACAAAAGTGATTGCGGTTTCACTACGGTGTTAAGACGCAATTACGTTTGCACCAACCTAATACTACACGCATATTAAGGTTATACTACTTGAAGAGCATGCGTATGAACGACGAAGAAACATAAGGCAAAAATGTCTTCACGGAGTGCAAGTGAATGAAATAAACCACCTGATGGACGAAATGGACGCATGGATGCGAATAGAATGGAGATCGTATAAAATCTGTAGAAATAGGTAAAGATGGTCGCATATGTGAGAGGCGAATTTTAATCACAAAAGGATAAGTATTTGGTCAGCCCGGAGCAGAGGATCGAATCTAAGAGCACGTACACATTGATGCATTGCAGAGACGTTAAAGCTTACATTATGCGCACTCTTTGCTTTTATCCAAATCTGATAGGCGCTTGTTACTTTGAAATCAATCAAGCCACTTGTCACTTGGAAAGGTTATATTTGAATGTTGGTCTGGAGCATCCTGCACATTATTTAACCGATCGAGGTGCCAATTGCTCAGGAAATGGCAGATGTGCCACTCACAAAGGGATGGCTCGGGGTCATGTGAACACTTAAGTGTCTCGCGAATAAAGGTGACGTCATTGACTCATTGATATTCAAGGAACAATAATGCTCTATACTGTAGTCAAAAAATAAAGTCTCGAAGCTGGTCAGTCCCTAAAGTTTGCGTCGTGCGTCGACCTCATTAAAAGAATGTTAAAAGTAACCGAATGCATAACTGGCCTACTAACGTATCAAGTCAGTAGTTTTGCCCTCCCAACGACCCTATACCAATTTGTGAACCCTGCAGGATGGAAGGCTTGATGAGGTTAGGGCGCTAGATTGAACCAGCAACCACGTGTGCGCCTCAGAGTACCTCTTACCATTACGCGACAAGCGCCCCTATTTTACTGTTAGTATCTTGAATATTAGGAAATTGAAGTTGCGTCTTCAATCATTACCGTAGTTTGACCATTTTCTCTAGCTTGACGTGAGAAATCTTCTAATTTTTTAATGAGAAATCCTCACACTAGTGTGCTTCTACCAGGTGACATGGCAGATTCGTCTTCGTGCTGTTCGACCAGTCGAGAGAGGCGTCGCGCAGTTGGAATGAAGCCGATCGTCGTATTCGCCGCTACAACTCGTCCAATCCACCAATCAAATGAGTAGCGCTGCAAGTAGCAAGTTCACGAAATACACGTCATCTATGCTAAAATGAGCGAGATCATTTGGAAAATTCCTATTATCAACATCGTGCTATAGACTTAACCAATAGGAAGTGATTGCGTCAGTGGTGCCCAAAATATAAATAGAAAATAATTTTCTATCAAAGCGGCGTGCGATTAAACGACATTCGAATACTCCTTTTCTTCAGACTTCAGCAGCAAGTATTAGTTTTTAGGGCAGAGTCTCATCCACAGGTAAAACCCACCACAATGTTAATGGATTTTCGTCGACCCTAGTTGCAATCTACCATTTCCTCTCTGTCTTTTTCAAATTTATTTTCTTGTTACCATTCTTGTCAACTCCACAGGGTAGACTGAAATTGCTACACATGGAAAACATAATTGTCCAGACAATGAAGTGATCGCGTATCAGTCAAACACTTCGAATACGCTACCTTACTTCCACTTTTTGATCGTTTTTTGATTAGTCAATTGGAATCTGTTTTTTCAGAAGCCAAATAATCTATTGCAAACGTGAGGAAATTCACGAACGCAGTGATCCATGAGCACATCAATCAAAATACTAATTTTCAAATGATAAAAAACTTGATATATAAACCAAGTGATCCCGAGTGGGAGCTACCTTTGCATTATTCCAAAGAGAGTCTTTCATTATTCGTAAAGGTCTTCCATTAACATTGCCTGTAGTGGATGAATGCTGATGAGTAAGGCGTCGGAAGAAAGTCCTAGGATTTGACATCTTCCAACTATGTTATCCAGCTTAGAAATCTCCGCCATGACGGTTAATTAGTGGTTCTATTTGTTCTGATCGTTCATTACATCATGTCATCATCTCCGCACACTTCTCGCTGATTAGGCCAGATGTTTGCTTGGCTCTAATCCACCGATGGTTTATCTGATCATTACATATTCGATTGCGCTTATTGTGTACAATGCACGACGCCATCAGCAGTAACTCAATGTTCTCAGGCGCCTAAACCGACAAACCGATGTAAATCTTTGCAAAAATTGGGACGGGAACACTTCTTGAACAAAACCAGCACTACATTCAATCTCGTTTTTTAAGGCACTTACCATTCTATCGTTCTGTCAGCATGCAAATCTAGGAAAACTTCGAATTTGGATAATCGTGGAAAACTTTCATCCCAAGAATGCTGATAGGATTTAAAGTCCTCGCCAAAATGTACCATTGATTTCAGCAGGATGAAGAAGGAGATTCTACATTCATTGCGTTCTGAATCCACTCAGAGACTTTCAAGATTTCCAAGAGTACTTCTTCTTGTACAGAACTTTACATTCAGTGCACTTCTCTGTTCTAGACTATATACGTGTTTCAGCATGAACGAACATCACTGTACCTTATAGATATGCAAGAAGTCGCCTTTCTTGAATGATATGGTCTTCTTCTGAATCGGTGACTCGTCTTCTAGAGTTCCATCGTAGGAAGCGTTTGCTCGAACGGCAAATGCTACTTTTAGATTCTGAAAAATTTTAGGTCAGCTGTTATGTTTTATAAATTTTTGGACCATTGTTTTGGTAGGGCAAGTAACTTGATAGATAATAACTTCAGCTATTTATGATGTTGGATTTTTTGGCTATTTAGCGAAGATTTCCTGGGGAGTGGTTCTTGGAACAGACGTACACAGTGGTGGGACTCGAATGCAATTAGGTGCTAGAAATAAAGTGCGACTCAGCTTACTTTTGACTGAGCCATAGAGAGGCCACTTCAAACCCTTTGTTCAGGGAGTTAGAGATAAAGTTCCAGTAAATCCCATGAAATTCTCGTTGGATTTATCACCAAGT